TTCAGGGCCTGAGGAGAAAGCAGAGAATGATGATGGCAAAAAGGGATCCCCAAACCCAGGCCAGGTGAACTCAGTGCAGGATGCAGAGGTGCTTGGGGACCACAGTTGCAGGGGTGACAGGAGGTGATGGAGGACTGGATCTCGAGAAAGTCTACACCTGCATGTGTGTGTATGTCTGTGTCTGTGTGTGTGTGTGCGCCCATGTGTGTAGACATCCCTGGAGAGGTCTTGGGGGTGGCGAAGATTAAAGGAAAGACCGGGAGCTCTCCCAATGGGTGAATATGACAAAATCCTGCAGGGAAACAGACAATGCATTTCCAGGCATAGATCTCCAAAGCAGAAGCAGGAGAGGGCCCCTGAGAAGTCTTCAGAACAAAAACCGCCACTTGATAAGTGCTTACCAAGTGCCAGGCGCTAAACACTGATAGTAGCTTCAGTTACTCCTGCTACATGCCAGGCAGGCCCTGTTCTAAGCCAGCTGTCTAATAAGCATACAGTGCCAGCACATATATAATTTAAAATATTCTAGTAGCTGCATTTTATTTTATTTACTGTTTAAGAAGTACAAACAGGGGACTTCCCTGGTGGCGCTGGATAAGACTGCACACTCTCAATGCAAGGGGGCCTGGGTTCGATCCCTGGTCAGGGAACTAGATCCCACATGCATGCTGCAACTAAGAGTTCACATGCCGCAACTAAGTAGCCAGCAAGCCGCAACTAAGGAGCCTGCCTGCCGCAACTAAGACCTGATGCAACCAAAAATAAATAAATAAATAAATAAGAAATACAAACAGAAATTAGTAATATGTATACCTAATGTACACATGGGTGATACCCAAGGGGAAAATTAGTAACTGCTCTGTATTTTAAAAAGTTTTTTTTAAGTGAAATTAACTGTAAAATATATTCTATTTAATCTAAAAGATGCAAAATATTAATTATCAGTGAGATGTTTCACACTCTCTTTTCTTATTAAGTCTTCAAAATCCGACGTGAATTTACACTTAACGGCACATCGCAGTTTGAAGGAGCCACATTTCAAGTGCTCAACGGGTGCAGCTGGCTGATGGCTACTCTACTAGACAGAGTAGTTTAGATATATTAATTCTCAATATATGTACTTTAGATACATTAATGCACTGAGTCCCCATCATCATGCTTTTGTAATCCTCATTTTACAGAGGGCAGAAGCACTTTGCCCAAGGCCACCCAGGAGGAAGGTGGCTGAGCCAGGACCTGAACCACCAAGCTCAGCAAGTGTGGGCTGGGGATCTGGTCTTCTAACTGCTGTGCTATGCTGTCACCATTACGTGTCTCATCTCCCTGAGGACTTAAAGAAAAAGGCTGCCTGCTCTTATTCTCTCTGCTTTACAGAGTGGGAACTGAGGATAAGAGAGCCTAAATGGTCTTGCCCTGTAGGTGGTCCCAGTGGGATCTGAACCTACGTGGAGCGAAAACTTGGGAGACATCACCTCACACTGCAGTGCATTCCAGGGAAGGAAAGGGTGTGGCTACCTGCATCCCACACTGAAGGTTAAATCCGCTTTGAAAAGTTCAAAGGAGGGACTTTCCTGGAAGTCCAGTGGTTAAGACTCTGCGCTTCTACTGCAGGGGGCATAGGTTTGATCCCTAGTCAAGGAAATACGATCCCACATGCTGTGCAGCACAGCCAAAAAAAAAAAAAGTAATTCCTGAACCTGTGCGTTTCTCATGACCAGTGATAACCTTCAGTGTGAAAATTTGAAAAGCCAAGAGCTTGTATTATTGCCATATCAAAGTGCCAGAGACTGGGTGGCTTAAACAACAGAAATTTATTTTCTTATGGTTCTGGAGGCTAGAAGTCCAAGATCAAGGTGTTGGCAGGGTTGGCTCCTCCTGAGGCTTCTGGGTTTGCAGATGGCCATTTTCTCCCTGGACTTCCCTCTATGAGCATCTGTGTCCTAATCTCCTCTTCTTATAAGGACACCAGTCATATTGGATTAGGGCTCACCCTAATGACCTCATTTTCAGTTAATTACCTCTTTAAAAGCCCTGTCTCCAAATACAGACACATTCTGAGGCACGGGGGGTTAGGACTTCAACATACGGATTTGAGGGACACTATTCAGCCCATAACACATGTGTTATATTTCTGTGATTACCAAAGCAACATATGTTCACCATATAACATTTCCAGAGATTAAGACACTAAGGTAATAATCTCTGCAAAGATCATTCTTTTTCGTAGTTTTTTGTAAAGTATATAAAGTGAAAGCCTACCCCTTTGTCTCCACTTCTACCCCCTCCTCCCCAAAGAGCACGACTGTAATAATGAGGGGCACATCTCACACCTTTTCTGGGCTTCTACAAGCTGCTGCCAGGAATGGCCTTATCTGAGCATCCCTACCTGGTCATGCCATGTTCTACACAGTCACCTGTTCCTGGAGAAAACATCCCTTGTGCTGGAGGGTGCTGTGGGTTAAATCTTTGTTCGCATTCACAATGATTCTATAATTGTATTGTAGGAGGTATACAAACTGTTCATCATTAGAGCTTAGATTTAAAAGGAAATTGTATAAAGAAGGCATATGAGGATAAGGGAGACCTGTCGGAATAGCTTCCGTAAGGCACTGAAATGTTTTGTTTTTAAGGGTGTGACTGGGATTTTTTTTTTTTAATTTTTATTGGAGTATAGTTGATTTACAATGTTGTGTTAGTTTCTGGCACTGAAATGTTGACTGTGCTTGACCTTAGGTATAGGGGGCAGTATATTATTTTTCCTTACTCCTTCTTCCTACTTAGCTGGATTTTCTACATCTTCCTAAATGAGTTTATATTACTTTTTATAATGGAGGAAATAAACAACTGTAATAGAATACTGCCAGGGAGAACAATGAAAAGGAGCTTTTAGTTCTCTTCAGAGCAAGGAGATGAAAGAAAGAGCAGGCCTGCTGCTAGATGCTGGGGGCGGAATGCTGGAAGGTGGGAACTCATCAGGTGATGGGGCCTTTGCCTTTCAGACCTGGAGGACAAGTGTGTGTGTGAGTGAGTACCGTCGGGGAGGAACTAGCTCTTAGCTAGTCCAAGGTGGGTTAGAGAGTTTGTAAATGAGCTCCTGGCTCCTTGAAATAATGTTCTTTGGCCTGGACTCATTATATCCCCATCACTGGGCACTGGGACTCTGAGTCACTGCCTGTGGTTTTTGAGATATTACAACAGAAAATGAGCTGGAAGGTTGGAGAGGGTCAAAAGGCCATTCCCGATACTAAAAAGAAAGAACGTGGAGACTTCAAACATTGAGCCAGAGGGCTGAGCAGGAATAAAGAGGTGATTTGGCAAGCCCCAGAAAAGGAAGCAATGATTCCTGAGAGCCAGAATGGGTTCACCAGCCTCAGCTCCACAGCACCCTTGGCTTGAAATGCTAGATGCACATATCCTTGGGTTCAGCAGGTCTCCAAATAGACTTCTTGTTGTAGTCTTGTAGTGGAGAGGGAGAAGTACAGGGTAGATACCAGTATAAATCAGTCGGACGGTAGCAGATTGAATTATCAGAGCCCCCAAATCAGTGGACTGATAGATGTCAAGGTCTATGTTGAAAAGCTCTGGGGACTTCCATGGGGGTCCAGTGGTTAAGACTCCGAGCTTCCACTGCAGGGGGTGCATGCTGCGAGGTGTGGCCAAAAAAAAACCCTCTGTCCTGTTCAACATTTTTAATCAATTGCTAGGGATTGGGGTACAGCAGAAACCAAAAAAGACACACCCCTGCCCTCATGGAGTTTATAAACTGGTATAATCTATTCGTTTATTAAGGAAAATTTGTTTTTGTTTTAAGGAAATGCAACCACTTCTTTGACCTCATTGAGAGACGTATATGTAGCTCATGTAGCTATGCATTCGTAGTTTACAGGACTTTGCTGCCCAACAGGTGAGACAGGTCACAAATCTCTGCACTCAGGTAGAGCCTGCAATGCCCTAGAGCAGTGTGACTGGGCAGCGTGTCCATGCAGGTGAGACACAAGTCACTCCCCCAGGCGCAGCCCCGAGCTGAGGCTACTCTTTCACTCACTGCAGGAGACCCCACTGCCTGTCCACTCAGCAGCCATTTCTCACCCCTTCCTTTCTAAAAATGCCACCATCCTCCTGCCTCTGGTTTCCACCTCTCTTCCCTGTATCCATATGTCTCAGTGAACGTTGCCCCCACCCCAGGAATGACCCCATTGGCCTAAGGAGAATCCTATGCCCCTTGAGGTGATTGGTTCAGGAAAGGACATGTGACCCAATCTGACCAATGTCCTGAGGGGAAGTCCAGGGAAAGGGGGAGGGTGACTTCTGGGAAGTTTTCTCCCTCTTAAGAGAAAGCCACAGTGTACCAGTTAGGAATGTGTTCATCAGCAAGTAAGAGAACACACCCCCCTCCGCCCACACCCTGACAAATAATAATTTAAGAGTGAAGATATTTAATGAGCTGTGTACAAACTCTGGAGGTAGGCGGTTCCTGGTGTTGGTTTAGTGGCTCCAATAATATTAGGATCAACATCTCTGTGACTGTCTTTGTCTTTCATTTATGGTGTCAAGAAGGCTGCCACTCCAGCCATTCTGTTCATGTTAAGGCAGGAAGAAAGGGGCTATGCCAGTGACACCTGTGCTTTTTCTGACCAAATCTTTCCCAGAAATTTCCTCGTACTTTCCCACTTTCGTCTCATTGGGCAGGACTATGTCCCATGGCTGCTCCTCACTGCAAAGCAAACTGGGAAAGTCAGTTTTTAGCCCTTCTTGTCCAAAGAAGAAACAGGATGGGAATTCCCTGGCGGTGCAGTGGTTAGGACTCGGTGCTTCCACTGCAGGGGGCCCGGGTTCGATCCTGGTCAGGGAACTAAGATCCCACAAGCTGCACGGCGAGACCAAAAAAACAAACAAAAATAAAGAAGAAACAGGAAAGGGAGAAAGGGGTTGGAAAGTGGAACTGGGTTAGCTACAAACAGAAAGTGACAAACCTAATTTCTGAACATCTCAATGTCTAGAACTGCTGCTGCCATCTTGGTTCCAGCCTGAGCAGGAAGCAAGCACTAAAAAGGCCAGAGCAGAGAGATGGAAAAAACCCTGCATCCAAGGTCAACAACCCAAATGGAAAGTGAGAAAAGTAGGTGAAGACAAAGTTCACAGAAAAGGAAAAACAAGTAAGTAGCCCTTAAGCACAGGAAAAAATGCTCAACTTAACTCATAGTAAGAGCAATTAAAATTGAAATAAGACTGTTATACCACTTTTCACCTATCAGATTGGCAAAAATCCAAATGTTTGACAATACATTCTGTTGGTAGGGCTGTGAGGAAGCAGGGACTCTCATGCATGAAGGGCAAAATGGCACAATCTCCTGTGTCAGGGAAGGAGTGAACAAAGGAACACATGAACTGGGGTCTTTATGTCCTCACTGAGATGCTGTATCAGCTTACCTGGAAACCACCCTCTCGTGGGACTTCCTATTAAATGACACAATAAATGTCCTCACTGATTAAACCAGCTTGAGTACGGTTTCTGTTACCTAGAGCCAAAACTATCCCAAATGATGCCCTGCCCCCCACCCTGAGCCCAGGAGCAAAGTTGTTCTGTCCAGAAGCCAGATCACAGAGTCTAATTGGGTCATTCAGGGACTGGCCAAATCCAAACAGGTACAGGTCCAAATGCTGAGGTCATCAATGACAGCAAAATCCCCCCCAGAGAAAGGGCCACAAGCTGTTCCAAAAGCGGTGGGTGGGCAACTGCCTAGGGTAATATACAATCCTTACGGTCTTGAGAGGGGGCTGCAGCCTGAGTGCTTAAAAGGCCTGGTGGAGGGGCTTCCCTGGTGGCGCAGTGGTTGAGAGTCCGCCTGCCGATGCAGGGGACGCGGGTGCGTGCCCCGGTCTGGGAGGATCCCACATGCCGCGGAGCGGCTGGGCCCGTGAGCCATGGCCGCTGAGCCTGCGCGTCCGGAGCCTGTGCTCCCCAACGGAAGAGGCCACAACAGTGAGAGGCTCACGTACCACAAAAAAAAAAAAAAAAAAGGCCTGGTGGAATCCAATGTAGAGATGATCCTAAAAAGTTGGAACTTGGGGTGATAAGATGACTGCCTTGGGCTTTCTTGATCTGATGTCTTCAGCTGTTTGGTTCATCTGATTGTCTTTATTTGAATTTCTTATTCACTGAGCAACTTTCTAGTTCCTGAGGATTTCCAAACTGTGTGGCAATTCTATACCCAACTAAAATGAATCAATTAGCATTTGCTTTGTCTTTTGAAAAATTACTAGTGAAGAATGGACAGACCCAGTGGAATCTCTCAATCCTCTCGCACCCAATATTCCTCACTAATGACCTTCCTGGTCTGAGATGTGGTTAAAACAGTTGACTCCTGCCCTCAAGCTACACCACTTTATGTATTACATTTCATAACCCCTGACCTCTATACTGAACCCAATGACTGGAACAAACTTCCAGGCTATTCACAGAGTGCATGGCTACCACCTGTAGTGTACTACAGCCCCATCCATGTATAGGCCTGCATCAGTCCTGCCCAAGTATTCACTGCCGTGAGAATACCTGGCTTCTGGGATTGGGAGACTTCATGACTCTGGGGATCCAAAGAACTTGGTTGGCTCCCTTCTAGGACAGAGGCAGGACAAAGGCATAATCAGTAGAACCTCACCGAGATTGTACTGGCAAGGGGTACTCTGATGCCCCTAGGAATAGCCTTGGGTCGGCTAGAGGCAGTAAGAGGTGTACATGTGGGCCAGGTATCCCTGGTAGTGGTTCATGTTTGACCATGTGGCAGCCCAATGATAGGAACAGGAGGGTGGGAAGGAGTATGGGGTCTTTGGCAAGGATGGAACAGTGAGAGGAGGTGCCAGGTAGGCCACCATGCCTTGGAGGCATAATGGTTGTATCTCCAAAGTTGTGTAGATGCTGGCCTCCTTCTTGACAAATATTCAGTCCCAGAAGGCCTCAGTCTTCAGGCCTGGCATTCTTCCAGACTCCTCTCAGACCATATTTCCAGCAAGTGTCCTGCCATCAGCCTTCCACCCACTCTGATTACTGCTCTCAGCACATTTATGTTTAGTTTATACCCTGCTGTTAATTTGTGATTGTTTGCAAGTTGTGTCATGTGTGTATATCCTGTCTAAGGTGGATACAGCCCCTGAGATCAGGATCTGTCTTGTAGTTTTTTTTTCAATCTCCATTCTCCTCCTCCACAAACACTACCACCAGCAATAACAATGATCACCTAATACAGGGCATTACGTATTGTAGACAAAAATGCTTGTAAATAAGGTAATATCACCGATGCTCAGAGGTTTGCCCCCATTACAGACAAACACTATGCAGGTGAAAAGCTGAGTTTTCAAAGCTGAGAAATGTGTAGAGAGGAGCTCTTTACTCTCACAGATTATTTTATGAATGAGGTATCCACTTGCCCTGACAGGGCTGTGAGAATCACAAAAGAAGTGGAAGGCATGTTCCATAACCTCACGGAACATATTAACCTGGGAAGACTCTTCACAGAACTGGAAAATACCTAAAACAACAATTTTCAGACATCCCATCCTCCTGCTTTAGCAGATAAACGTAAAAGAAATTAGAGTCCGAAAAATTTGCTTTGGCGTTGGAAAATCTGAAATAGCTTTTTCTAGAAGTCTTACTATGAGTTTCCTTGAGATGTCAACCTAACTTATGTGATTTGTGTTCTCAGCTTTTCAGAAATGTATTTCCTTTTTTAAAACTTCCCTAAAGTAAAGTAAAAGTGTAAATATGTCGTAGTCCGGGAAGACCAAGGTGCTGACTGTCTCCTGGCCACGAGGGGGCATGGTCTCCCTAGTTCTGAGCTCAGGAGCCGACTATGGTGACCCCAGCTGTGCCCAGACTCAGCCTAGCTGGGACTTCAAGCCCCTCCCTGTAGCCCAGGTCAGGGGCTCAATGGACACCAGACCTCTTCTCCTTTTTGGGCAGCTCCTGCAGCGGGTACATCTGGGGTGCGGAAGGCGACGAGCAGTCAGGCTGGGAGGAGATCATGTTTAAATTACAGACTGGGCAGGAGTGATGTGCTGGCAGCTTCACCCAGGAGCCAGAAGGGCGGTGGTGTCTGGGGCATGACCTTGGGTAGTTGGGTTGCTGGTTAGGGTGTTGAGCAGAGCCTGGCTGGCGAGGCTGAGAGAGCATGCATGTGGCAACCACAACAGAGGTGGGGGCCCCACGGGGCCTGTGAGATCCACTGTCCTGCCTGACCAGCTCCTACGAGCCCTGCCAGAATTGGGACTGTGTGGTGTGGCCCAGGCCAAGTCCACACTTTTCAGCAAGGTCCTCTGCGGTCTGGCTTCAATCTGCCTTCCTCAACATTGCCTTCTCTAAAAGTAGCTCTTCTCCTGCCAAGCTGAATGACCTGCTCTTCCCCCAAATGACTTGCACTTTACTTCACTCACGTATTCATTCACTTATGCATACCATGCAATAAACATGTATTGAGGAACTTCCCTGGTGGTCCAGTAGTTAAGACTCCGCGCTCCCAATGCAGGGGACCCAGGTTCCATCCCTGGTCAGGGAACTAGATCCCGCATGCCGCAACTCAAAAAAAAAAGAGATCCCACGTGCCGCAACTAAGACCTGGTGCAGCCAAATAAATAAATAAATATTAAAAACAAAAACAGGGACTTCCCTGGTGGTCCATTGGTAAAGAATCTGCCTTCCAATGCAGGGGACGCGGGTTCGATCCCTGGTCGGGGAACTAAGATCCCACATGCCATGGGGCAACTAAGCCTGCACAACACAACTACAGAGCCCATGCACTCTGGAGCCCATGCACCACAACTAGAGAGAGAAAGCCTGCACGCCACAACTAGAGAGAAGCCCGAAAAGATCCTGCATGCCTCAGTGAAGACCCCGTGTGCCACAGCTAAGACCCGACGCAGCCAAAAGCATAAAGAAAATAAATAAAATAATTTTTTTTTAAAAAAGATAGGATCTTTACATGTATTACCTCATTTATTCCTATTTAAAAAAAAAAAAAAACAGGACTTCCCTGGTGGCTCAGTGGTTAAGAATCTGCCTGCCAATGTAGGGGACATGGATTCGAGTCCTGGTCTGGGAAGGTCCCGCTGAGCAACTAAGCCCGTGAGCCACAACTACTGAGCCTGCATGCCACAACTACTGAAGCCTGCACGCCTAGAGCCTGTGTTCCACAACAAGAGAAGCTACCGCATTGAGAAGCCCATGCACTGGAGTGAAGAGTAGCCCCCGTTCGCACCTAGAGAAACCCCACGCGCAGCAACAAAGACCCAACGCAGCCAAAACTAAATAAATTTATTAAAACAAACAAACAAAAAACAAAACGTACTGAGTGCCCGCTGTAGCCAGGCACCATGGAGATACAAGACAATGCGCCTTCACGGACAAGAGTCTTATGCCTCCATATCTTTATTCATGCTTTTCTCCCCCTCACTCTCTGCCTGGCCAGATTTTACCATCCCTCAGTGACTTCCTACAACCTCCCCAGCTCCAGGAAGTCCCTTCTGATTACTCCAAAGTGAGGGAAAGTACTTAGTCTGTCCCATTCACTGTTATATCCTGAATGCCTAATACTGTCCCTGGCTAGGGGCTCAGTGAATGTTTGTTGATGTGAATGAATCAGGTAATCTTGTTTGTCTCTGCCGTCACAGCCCAGGTTGCCTAAAACTTTCACTTGGCAAGTCATCAAGTCCTGCCTGTGACATCTCTCCTACTGAACTGCTGTGTTTATTACCACACAATGCTTGGTGGCTGGGTTAGGCAGGGCTCTTAACTCCCAACGTATGGGAAGGAGCTTATTGGCTCATTGAAACACACCACCAGCAGATGGGCAGGAAGGGTTGAGCCTGCCTTAGGGACGACAGGAATCTGAGATTATCATGTCAGGACACCCTGCTACTCATCATGGCTTCTCTCTTTGAGGTCTTCATCCCCTGTTTTTTGCAAACAGGTTTTCTGCATCCAGAAAATCGCTGTCGTTAGTCCGGATTTATATCCTTCGAGCTCACCAGTCCAAGAGGAACAGGATTTTCCTCTCCAGCTCCAATTTTGAAATCCTGGTAAAAGCTCTGATAGCCTTGTTTTTCTGGATCACATACCCTTCTCCTGGACCAATCACTGTGACCAGGGGCAGTGATGTAGACTGATTGGCAGCCCTTACATGAATGGCTGAGTTGGACCAGAGAAAGAGCAGTTTATCCCCCAAAAGATGATTGAGAGAAACAGGCATGCCTCTTGGGAAGAGCTGGGACCACCACCCTGATGTGTATCTACAACAGTGGTGGTACCTATGTTTTCATGTATATTCCCTGTTATTGGGGGTAAGAAGCATTTACTGATACAAGAACTTGAAAAATATTGGCTGATTTATAGGAAAAGGAGTTTAGTGTTTTGTCTTGTTTTTGGCTGAAATCCCTGGTGGATCTTCCCTGGTACTTTGCATGAGCCTACAATTGTCCGTCTTGCTGCCACTGCTGTGGGTGGTGTCGTCTGTCCCAGGCTGTGGAACTAGAGAGAATCCTGGTAGCCATGTTATGACTTGAGCTGTCACTTCTGTTTTTCCTTCTGAGAAAACCTTCTAAGCCCAGCAGTGTGCGTAATACTGGCTTTTTGTCTCAAATGGGGAATGGCTCTAAGACTCGTTTTTCTATTTGTGTTTCTTTGTTTATTTTGATAGAAAGCAAAGATGGCAATTTTGTAAAATGGCACCTTCCTTGAATGGTCTCAGGAATGGGGCCTTTTCAAAAGATGAGGCATGCCTCTCAGGAGAGCATCAGGATTTCAACAGCCCTATTGCGTAATGTCATTGTACCTATTTCTTTGAT